CGGGGGGGCCCCCTGTGTCCAGTCGTCCTCCACCCGAAGGACCATGGTGTAGATGTCCACACTACAGCCTGTGGAGGACCACATGCCGCAGCAGGTGGATGTGTCCTGAAGGAAGCTGCAGCCCATGGAGAGCCCACAGGCTCCTGGCAAGAACTGTGGCCTGTGGAGAGTAGCCCATGCAGGAGCAGATTTTCTGGCAGAATCTGTGGCCCATGGGAGACCCATGCTGGAGCAGTCCATTCCTGAAGGACTGTACCCCATGGAAAGTACCCATGCTGGAGCAGTTCTTGAAGAACTGCAGCCTGGGGAAGGACTCAAGTTGGAGAATTTTGTGAAGGACTGTATCCCATGGGAGGGACCCACGCTGGAGCAGGGGAAGAGTGTGAGGAAGAAGGAGCCGCAGAGGCAAAGTGTTATGAACTGAGTGCAATCCCCATTCCCTATTCCCCTGCACCACTCGGGGGGAGGTGGAAGATTTAGGAGTGAAGCTGATCCTGGGAATAAAGGAGGGATGACGGAGGGAAGGTGTTTTTAGTTTTGTTTTACTTCTCACTATCCTACTCTGTTACAATTAATTGTCAATAAATGAATTAATTTCTCCAAGTCAAGTCTGTTTTGCCCATGATGGTAACCAGGACAGTAAGTAACCCCCCTGTCCTTACCTCAACCCACGAGGTTTTTCATCATATATTCTCCCGCTGTCCTGTTGAGAAGGGGGAGTGATAGAGTGGCTTGGTGGGCACCTGGTGGTCAGCCAAGGTCAACCTACCACAAACCTCCACCATTTTTCAGTGCTTTTACTGAATCACAGAAATAAGAATTAGACACAGTCTTGCTGTAGTGGTTTTAAAAAGGAGTCTTAGTGTAATGTTTCAAATCTGGGATACCTATAAAAACTCTGAAATTAATATTCTGGTTTTCTATCCAAAGATCACCTTAGCTGTTTGGAATACAGCTCTCTTTTGAAGCTCATATTCAGCTAAGCACTGAAGTTCATAATCTTTCTTGCCTCCCAGGATGGTTTCTAATTCTCCCTATGAAATTACATGGAACCATATTATAAACCACCCCAGTTTACCTGCATTAGTTTATTATTGAAACCATTGTTACTAACCAGGTTAGAAACAATGCAACTGGCAAAATAGGTGGGTGATGCTTCGCTATTATTACAGATACTAGTTGTTTAAGAATTGCAGCATTTCTTCACTCAAAGTGATGATGTACACTGATAAGACTCTTACGAAGAACCATCTCTATCTTTGTAAAATGTATTTCAAACATGAACCAACTGAACAGAATTCAGAAGAACCATAAAGAATAACAAGAGATCTAGAAATCATGCCCTATGAGAAAAGGCAGAATAAAGTGAGGTTGTTTACCCTAAAAGAGAGAAGAAATAGAATCACAGAATCACAGAATGGTTTGTGTTGGAAGGGACCTTTAAAGATCATAGAATCATAGAATTCTTTAGGTTGGAAAAGACCTTTAAGATCATCAAGTCCAACCGTTAACCCAGCACTGGCAAGTCCACCACTAAACCATGTCCCTAAGCACCACATCTACATGTCTTTTAAATATTTCCAGGGATGGTGACTCAACCAATTCCCTGGGCAGCCTGTTCCAATGTTTAACCACTCTTTCAGTAAAGAAATTTTTCCTCACGTCCAATCTAAACCTCCCCTGGTGAAACTTGAGGCCATTTCCTCTCGTCCTATTGCTTGTTACTTGGGAGAAGAGACCGACACCCCCCTCGCTAAAAACCCCTTTCAGGCAAGTTGTAGAGAGCGATAAGGTCTCCCCTGAGCCTCCTTTTCTCCAGGCTAAACAACCCCAGTTTCTTCAGCCACTCCTCATAAGACTTGTGCTCTAGACCATTCACCACTTATTTACTATATTGACAGAGTAAAGGAGTCTAAAGACAGTTTCACACTGCAGCTAAACTGATATAATATCTAGCTCGCAAGAAAGAGCAAGCCCACTCTCTACTCTTCCTTCCTTTGCCTGTGCATTCCCACCTGCCCCTTTCACCAGCACTGGTGTGTATAAGTCTCCATGGTGAAATGTTTTAGGAAGCCAAATGAGTAGAAACCCATTCACTTATTTTGTGAGTGGTTAATATGCATGGTTAGCTTCCTGAACTGGTTTGACAATGGACAGGACTAGGCCTATAAGTGAACGCTGGTGGTACATAGGGGAAAAGGACTGCAACTTTCATGGGCAGCTAGCTTAGCTTCATGATAAAATTTAAATCTTAGTTAGCTTAGTTCCATCATGACACTGCATCCTGAGCAACAAGCACTTTGACTAACAGTGACTAACACAGCTAAATCAGAATTCTTGCAGCAATTACTTTGACAGGCATTCAATTCCTTGAAAAAAACAAAGATAATCTTTGACTTAGATATCCCCTTGCCTGGAAGTCAAATGTAAAAGTACTGGCATAGCTGAAGAACCTAATAAGTGAACAGTGATCTGGCCTGGTAGATGAAGGGAGAGTAGTGGCTATTGTCTACCTACGACTTCATTAAGGCTTTCAGCATTGTCTCCCATAAGAGCCTCATAGAGAAGCTGTTGATGTACGGACTGGATGAGCAGGCAGTGAGGTGGATTGAAAACTGGCTGAATGGCCAGCCAAGATGGTGGTGATCAGCGGCATGAAGTCTAGTTGGAGGCCAGTAACTTCGCAGTGTACCCCAGGGGTCAATACCGGGTCTGATCCTGTTCAACATCTTCATTAATGATCTGGATGATGGGGCAGATTGCACCCTCAGCAAGCTTGCAGATGACACAAATCTGGGAGAAGTGCTGAGGGTTGTGCTGCCATCCAGAGGGACCTGAACAGGCTGGAGAAATGGGCTGACAAGGAACCTCATGAAGTGCAACAAGGAGAAGTGCAAAGTCCTGCACCTGGGGAGAAACAACCCCAGGCACCAATATATGCTGGGGGTCACCCAGCTGGAAAGCAGCTTTGCAGAAAAGG